ACCCCTGGGAGCACTAAAGCTACTTATGTTGGCAAGGGGGCAGGATGGAGGTGGAATTATGCACATGACTGAAGGCTGGGCAGTACTTATAGAGACTAGGGAATGACTGTACTTTCCAGTAATGGAGGGCTATTGATGGCATCTGTGTTATGAACATGAAGGCAACTCCGGCTGGCCGCTGTACACCATTTAACACCGAGCATGATCTTCATGGATTTGTGAATCCCCATGTCAAAAGGGACACAGTGCATTGTGTCACTGCCTATAACAACTGTATCAGGTTAGCCAGGTTGGCAACCTGATGGACTGTTGTATTTCCTCCTGGCCACAGCCATAGTCCTGAAATATGATCACCACTCTCATATGCAACAGCTTCAGCAAGATGACATAGCCATCTCTTTTCTTTTATCTGTCACCTGTTACATTTTGTTGACCAAGTGTTCTGCTTTCATGGAATACTATCTCACATAATTTCTGACCACAGATCCAATTTCTTTTCTCCCAACGTTTGGTGACAGGTTTCAAGGCCAACTGAGTTTGCTTTCTTGTCTATAGTACAATAATCAAACAATCCATAAGAACCATGACCACGAAGAGTGTCTACATGGCTGATTTTGCTAGTCAATTCATGTTTAATCACTCACTGACCTCATTGTCCTGGGATAACTTACCTCTTACCAATTATGCCTTCTAGCCTATCTGCATCATGTTTGTTCATCATGTTATTCACAACTTCTAAATTCTTATTAAATAGTTGGCTGTTTGATCTGTCAATTGCTGAGAGACAGGTTAAAATATCTCACTATTTTAATGAACTTGTCCATTTCTGCTTGTAATTAAATTTTGAGGCTATGTTACATAGTTTTTGGGACAAATCCCAATCTGGGAAAGCATCCCAAGGTCACTGTTGTGCGCCCTTCTGACCATAGAACACACCACGGGAACATGATCAACCAAGATGTCATCTCTAATATCCTGCCTTCATATGAAGCAGCTCAGAAGATGACACGAGTCATCCTCTATATGTATCATAAAACATACCTGTCACAGCAAACACTTTTATTATTCAGATTTTATATTTTCATAGTAGACTAACTTACATGATTTCTGACCATAGCCCCATTTTGCCTTCTAGCTTTTAATGACTAGTTTCAAGGTCTTTTAAGTTTGCCTCCCCCCATATAGTCTGAAATCCACCTAGATGATGTGATCCATGTTCTTAGGGAATTTCTACATGGCTCTACCACCTGCAAATAGCAGCACTCACCCACCTGACTTGCCACTAAAAAACTCATATTCAACAACTCACTGCCTTCCCCTACCTTGTAACACCCTATTTCCTAGCAATTATAGCTTTCATCTTATCTACATCCCTGGAGTCCCTGGCACTACAGACACCTCAGCACCTTAGTCAGGACTGTTTATGCCTTCTGGCTCCACCCATGGCACGCCCACATTACATATCGGATAAGGAAGCTGAAGGGCAACTCACTGAGGCCCTTCCAGAAAACAGAGACTATCATCCCAGTGGACTTTCATCTCCAGTTTCCTTACCTCACACCAAAAGGTCTTTCTTAGATAAAATTCTAAATGTCTGCCAACTTTCCCCTTTTATGTATTGCCTTTTGTTTTTGGCCCATGTCTGTCTCCCTCATTTTAATGGCCAGATACTTTAAGTCCATCTGAAATAATAGGTGTGGGTGTGAAGGCAAACACTTATTCTGACACCTGCTGCCTGTGCAGGTTCCCTTGCCTGGCAAAGAGGAAAGCTTTGGGTGACAGTTTTATTTCCTGCTGTTTTTGGGATACAGAAGCACTTGGTTTTTCCAATCTTGTGGGGATCAAATTCTTGGTCTCTGCAAGGACCTAAGGCTGTGAGTAGTTGGCAATACGCATATGTTAAAAAATTAAAATAACTCTAACAAAAAAATCATGAAATCCTACACATTTTCAATAAGTTTTTAAAATGTAAAGGCAGTGAATTTGCCAAAACATTAGATAAAGCAAATTATCCAAGCACTTCCTCAGGTAAAAGGTCAGTTGTGTTCTTTGGAATTCTATTCATGTTTACTTGTTATGCACCAGTTTGTCCATCAGCTTGAGTGCCATTATCTACCTCTCCATATTATTGTTATCTATTGACCTCCTGGTCAAGCCTCCACATTCACTAACATTCAGCATCCATATGGATGATCCGTCTTACATTCAGATCTCTGAGTTACATAAGACTGCTACCCTTAGAGAATAGCATCCAGCTTTAGCTGTTCCCTGAAAACTTCCCTCCATCTCCTTGTTAGACTGGTTTTCCCAACTCCTCTGAGCTGTTATTTGGAACTTCTAACATTCTTCTCAAGACAAGGTACGTCCTTTCTTGCTTTCAGCTGTTCTCTTCTACTTCATAGAGAAAACAGAATGTGTCTAAAGGGAACACTCTCAATTTCCTGCTTTTGCTACTGCCTCGCTTCATTCAGTTTCTCTGGATGTACACCTAGATATCCCTTCAGGACAGTCTTTTGTGTAAGGCCAATTCCTCCAGTACACTTAAGTCTGTCTAAATCTAAAACAATAATTTAAAAGTCCCTAGACTTCATGTCTCTTTCTAGCTGCAACGCTTTGGAAGAACATACTATGGCCACTGTCATCTCTTCTTTACCTCCCGCTCCCTCCTCAACCCACTGCCGTTTGACTTCTGTCCCCCACTCCCTCCAATTCCACTAAAACTGCTCTTCCTAAGGTTGTCAATAACCTCTCAATATTTCTGGGCTTAGCATACTCAACCCATGGTATTTGATGCTGTTCATCATGCCCTCCTGGTTAGTTATTTTACCCTTTGGCTTTTGTGATACTTTCCTTTGGTTGTTTGCTTTTCTTCCTCATAAATGGTTCTGTCCTTGGCCTGCTGCTCTTTGTGTTCTTTAAAGTTTCCTTGGGAACATTCAAATCAAATTTTATCTCCAGTGAGTTCTCCTTCTGCTTGGTCAACTCTATCTGGATGTCTCATGGGGTCTTCAAACTCAACTTCTCAAGTAAAATTCATCATCCCTCCCCAACCTGATGCTCCTGTGTTTCCTAGCTCAGTGATACTCATCCACCAAACCCTATTCTGAAACCTGGGAGTCATACTGGAATCCTAATCCTCCTCACGCTCCACATCCAATTAGTCAAAAAGTCCTATTGGTTCTAATTCCCTTACTAATTCTCAAAATTATTCCTCTCTCAACTGCCACTGCTAGGTTTAGATTTTCTTTCTTTTTTTTTTTATTGTACTTCAGGTGAAGGCTTACAGAACAAATAGTTTCTCATGAAACAGAAGTACACATGTTGTTTTATGACATTGGTTAACAACCCCACAACATATCAACCCTCTAACTTCTCAAACTCTTTTTTTTTTTTTTGGTGAAAATACACATAGCCAAAGATACACCATTTCAAAAATGTCTACATGCACAGTTCAGTGACATTGACTACGCTCTTTGAATTGTGCTGTTATTCTCACTTAAGATGAAGGCTTACAGAACAAAATAGTTTCTAATTTAACAGTTACTACAAATGTTGCCCTATGACAATGGTTAACAATGTCACAACACATCAACAATACCCTTACTCAACCTTGGGTTCCCTATCACCAGCTTCCTTGACCCTTCAGCTTTCTGGCCCTTGTCACTGGACTCCTGTACCTCGTTAGTCTCATTTGGTTTTACGGGGCTGTCCACTCCCAGGCTGAACAGTGAACCTCGGAGGTAACTTCACCACTGAGCTAAAAGGGTGTCTGGGGGCCATACTCTTGGGGTTTCTCCAGTCACCTTTAGGCCAGTAAATCTGGTCTTTTTTTTTGTGAGTTAGAATTATGCTCTACATCCTTCTCCAGCTCTGTCCAGAACCCTCTGTTGTGATCCCGGTTAGAGCAGTCAGTGGTGGTAGCCGGGCACCATCTAGCTGTACTGGACTCAGTCTGGTGGAGGCCTTGGTAGCTGTGGACAATTAGTCCTTCGGACTAATCTTTTCCTTGTATCCTGTTCTCTTCATTCTCCCTTGCTCCCGAAGGGATGAGACCGGTGGAGTATCTTAGATGGCCGCTCATAGGCTTTTAAGACCCCAGACACTACTCACCAAGGTAGAATGTAGAGCATTGTCTTTATAAGCTGTGTCATGCCAATTGAGCTAGATGTTCCCTGAGAGCTAGGTTTAGATTTTCATCACCCACTGCCTTCTAGCTGGTCTATCTGTATCCAGTTTTACCTTCCTAAATTATTTTTTCACAATGTGTTAGCATGATCTTCCTAAAACATAAGTCTGATCACGAGACTGGCCTGCTTAAACGCCTTCAGTAGCTTACCATGCTTTTCGGGTAAAGTTTCAACTCCTTAATATCCAGCATACAAAGCCTCTATGCTTCTCCAAAGAGTCAGAGATGACTGCACTCTTGCTCTAGCGATACTGGTTTTGTGATTTCCAGCAGGTGCCATGATGTTTAATTCATCAATGCCTTTGCGTATGCTGTTCTCTATGCCTGGAGCGTCCTTTCCTACCTGCTTTGACTACCTGGCTAAGTGTCCTTCATGAGTCATCTTAGGTATCCCTTCTTCAAGCTCCCACAGTATATGGGGCTATGCTGTGATCACCACTTTCCATCTGTTTCCCCATTACATCTAGTTCTTTTAAGGCAGGGACTAAGTTCTTCATCTTTCCACTCCACTGCCTAGCACCTTGCCTATTTGTGATTTACTCCCTGGGGTACTGGTGTGTGTACATATATACATATATATACACATACACATACGTGCGTGCGTGCGTGCGTGTGTGTCCGTGCGCGCACGCGCGCATGGAGCTTGTGAATGCGAATCTCGGCTGGGCACACAGCCGGTGGGGACACTAAAGCAGAAGTAATTTAACTCCGGCTTTTCCCACAACCACCTTCGGTATCACCGGACAGTCAACCAGCTCGGATGTCTCAACCCAACCAGACTACGAAACAAAGAGCCACTTCTGCGCCTGCGCAGATCGGGTAAGGCGGGGCAAGCGACTACCGCCTCTGGACGAGTATGGGTGCACGCAGAAGTAGTCAAATAAGAACGTTTTTTGCCCGACTCTCGTTTGCCAGCTAACTAGGGGGAGGAGTACACAAAAAATCACATCCGGGGAAGTGAAGCCACGTTTTTTTGGGCTGCAAGATGGAGGCGACTAGTGCCAGTGACAAGCCGGTGAGAGTCTGCCCAGGGGCTGGGTGAGTGGGGAAGTGGAGCCAAGTCGAGCATTGAACACTTTCCCCTTTCCTTTTTCCCTTCCCAGGTTTGCGGGGAGCTGGTGTCTGTGGCACATGCTCTTTCTCTCCCAGCAGAGTCTTATGGCAACGATGTGAGTATGACCCGCAGCTCTCACTGTTTCTGCAGGACCTGCCACTAAATTAGAAGCTTTTGCCCAGACATATTTTGCAGATCCTCTCCGTGTCCGCCAAAAACTGCGCCTTCTTTCAGTTTTCTAATCTTTTTGGTTCACAAACGCAGGGCTGTCGACAATGGAAGTGGATTCCACACTTTGCTGCATTTTAGAATCACTTGGGGAGCTTTAAAAAATCCCGATATCGAGATCGCAATTCATACCAATTAAATCAGAATGTCTGGAAATGGGAGCCAGGAATCCACATTTTTTAAAGATCGCCAGGTGATTCCAATGTGCAGCAAAGTTGCACTGACTTATGATGTGCCTGGTTCAAAGCCTTAAGGAAAAAGCACACGTTCTATTTTAAGAAACAAGACACAGGGACATGAGTATAGTAATAACACCCCAATAAGAATGTGGCATGTGTGAATCTTATGGTCAGGCCATAAGATCCAAAAGAGTTTAACTGAAGAAGAGACCCTTAAGGACCGAGGCAGTAGAGGAAGCCTTCATCCAGGAAGTGGAGCTTGAATTGGATCCTCAAAGTGGAGGTGGGGGAAGGATGCGGATTGATTGACAGGGGAGGGTATTGAAGGCAGGGAAAGGGCGTGGTCTCAGGCATGAAGGTAAAAATGCAAACAGCTTTTTCTGGGGCTAAGTAAATAAAATCAGTCTAGTTGGAGTGGGATATTCCAGTGGAACAGATGCTGGGTGCTGGGAAGGCTTATTTATAATCTGACCTCTTCATGGTACTGATTCATTGCTAGGTGTTGTAGGATGGAACCACAAATGATGATAATGACATGTTGCTGTTACTTGCTGTTCAACTCATTGTGACCCCATGTGTGCAGAATAACACTATTCCATAGGGTTTTCAAGGTTGTGACCTTTCGAAAGCAGATTGCCAGGCCTTACTTCCAAGGTGCCTCTGGATGGGTTTTAACTATGAGCCTTTAGGTTAGTCGTTCAGCACTTAATCATTTGCTTCTCTCAGGGACTCTGACTGACATGCTACATTCCTAAAAGTGAAAAATAGTTTCACTTCCCTTATCTTACTTTGTCCTCTCAACAACTCAGTGGTGTAGGTGGGTATATTTTCTTAGTTTTACAGTAATTTAACTCAGTCCTGAGAAGGCGATTTATCCACTGTGTTATGTATTCTCTCATGCTTTCACTAGCTGCTGGGAAAAGATAGCCACAGACCTATTTTGTTTATTAGACTTTGTGGGTAGCTTCTTTTGGTTGACTTGAGGACAAAAGAATTGTTATATTGTTCAAACCTAGTAGTCTACTTTCTGTCTTTTGACAGTAACACCATGTTTGATGAACCTCTTGAACATTAATTAGACATCCACAGACTTCCTTAATTTGTTATCCAGTAGCAAGATTGGGAGATTTCTGACCTGGTATTGGAAACCCTGGTGGCGTAGTGATTAAGTGCTGTGGCTGCTAACCAAAAGGTCAGCAGTTTGAATCCACCAGGCACCCCTTGGAAACTCTTTTGGTGCAGTTCTACTCTGTCCTATAGGGTCGCTAGGAGTCAGAATCAACTCAACAGCAACGGGTTTTTATTCTTTACTCCTTTGCAGCCTGATATTGAGATGGCTTGGGCCATGAGAGCAATGCAGCATGCTGAAGTCTACTACAAGGTGAGTTGTCTGTCTTCATCATTATTAAGCAGAATTAAACACATAATTATAGTGCATGGTATTCTGCTGATCACTATTCTCGGCGAGTTAAACAGTTGGGTTTTGGAGATAATTTTTATTGCTCTAAGATCTTACCCACAGAGAATAGGAGAGTGGAAGCAAATTTGCTTTAGCAATGAGGATTTCTGTTTCTTTGCCCAGTTTTCTGTTGATAACTGGCAAAAGGGTGTATGTCCCATAGTAGGTACTTAATACATGTTTGTTGAATGAATGAACAATCCACAGAGGGCAACAGCCAGTCAATACTAGGGCCAAATTGGTTTGAATTGTTGGAAGGCTCTGTGCTTTATTATGACCCTTTAAAACTTTGTCAGGACCTAGGCTGTCTATACTGCCTAATGAAATCTTCTGCCCTGAGAACCATAAGGGTTTTCTGAGGGAAGGGGATAGAAGTGTAGCAAATTAGAGACTAACATCTGTATATTGTCTAATTGTCTGGCAGTTGATTTCATCAGTTGACCCACAGTTCCTGAAACTCACCAAAGTGGATGACCAAATCTACTTTGAGTTCCGGGAAAATTTTGAGAAACTCAGAATAGATGTATTGGACCCAGAAGAGCTCAAATCAGAATCAGCTAAAGAGGTGAGAATTATCTCTTTTAAATATTACCTAACATCTGACCAAAAATTATTGATTGTGAGTACATTTTATACATTTAAACTCTTCTTTGTTTGTTTTAAGGAAAGTACTTAGAGAACCAGAGTTCTAATCAACTAAGTAAGTTATGAAAGGAATGTTTATCTGGTTTATGGATTTTTTTATGTTTATTGAGTATATTTTTTTTCTCCTTGACTGGGTCATTTCATCCCCTCTCACCTAGCTCTTTCAGGCGAGGAGGAATCAGTTTATTTATGTAAGTAGATTAGCCAGAAGGCTTGGATGGGGGAGTGGCAGGAAGGTATTTTGATTCTCTGGATTTGAGTTCATGTTACCACGGGCCACAGATAATTGGAAAACTTACGTTTTCTCATTGCTTACTTGATTAGTTTGTACTTTCACAGGGCCCTAAAACTTTCAGTTGGGAAAAAATTTACTTGAATGTAGGCTTTTGGCTTATGAAGAATCTAAACTTTTAACTCCTAACAGACACAGTGGCTGCAACAATGGGTTCAAAAATACCTACTATTGTGAGGGTGGCGCAGGACTGGGCAATTTTTCATTCTATTATACATAGGGTTGCTATGAGTGTGAGCCGACTCCACGGCACCTAACAACAACAGGCTGTTACTTGTCTTTGGAAAGTTGTTACTACTGAATGGTTGCCTTCCTTCATTTCCTTTTTATTGTTTTATTGTGGTAAAATATATATACCAAAACATTTGCCAATTTAACAATTTTTATATGTATAATTCAGTGACATTGGTTAGTTACATTCATCATGTTATGCAGCCATCACCACTATCTGTTTCCAAATTATTCCACCACCATTAACAGAATCTCAGTGCCTTCGAAGCAGAAGTCTGCCTTTCACCCTCCCTCCCACCTTTGGTAACCACTAATAAACTTTGGGCTCTATACATTTCCCTATTTCATATAAGTGGAATCTTACAACATTTGTCCTTTCGTGACTGATTTATTTCACACAGCATAATGTTTCAAGTTTCATCCATGTTGTAGCATGTATCAGGACTTCATTTTTCTTTATGGCTGAGTAATATTTCATTGTACTTATATAGCATGTTTTGTTCATCCATTCATCTGTTGATGGACATTTGGGTTGTTTCTATCTTTTGGCTATTATGAACAGAGCTGCAGTGAACACTGGTGTGCTGAACTTCTTTCTTAAAATCTAATTTTGTGACTTGGGGTCAGATTGTTGCCTCCTTCATCTCATTTGTGCTTCAGTGGGGATGAATAACCATTTGGGGCTGAGTTGGCCAATAACTTAAAAAAACAAAACAGAGAATCTATTTAAGAGATCAAATTTTAATTCTGTAATAAAGGATTTAGGTATTTTGTCATGTTAAAATACTGTTCATGTTGTGAAATACCAGTCTAAAGACACAATAGATAGCACAGAAACTCACTGCTAGTTTCACTCTCAGCAAAATTAGCAATCAACTTCTATCTTAGTCTCTTCTTCTATGGTTATTTCCCTTCCTGGAGAAGTGGAAGCCCCTCTACTGGACTGAATACATTAGCCTCTTGCATTTGTCAGCTAAGGCATTGTTTTTGCATTTATAGAAGTGGAGACCATTCTGCTTGAAGTTTGATGGAATTATAGAAGACTTCAACTATGGCACCTTGCTGCGACTAGATTGCTCTCAGGGCTACACTGAGGAAAACACCATCTTTGGTGAGTTTCTTGCCTCCGGAATTGTTTATAAGGAAGAGGAGGGATCTGGTTTTATAGATGAATCAATGACATGGATAATTCATTTGGGGATCATCTTATTTGTTATACCTTTAAAGATCATGTTGCTGTTTTTTAAATAACTGTGAGATAGTTATTTTCACCCTCATTTAGTATAGAATTAGAATTCTAGATCCCTGAAGCTTATGCCTATACTTGAATGCTTCGCATGCTAGTTGAGCTTCGTCAGTACATTTCCAGTAGATTTAGGGAAGTAATTGGGGCTAGGACAATAATCAATTCTATTTGCCTTCCAGCCCCCAGAATACAGTTTTTTGCCATTGAAATTGCTCGGAACCGGGAAGGCTATAACAAAGCAGTTTATACCAGTGCGCAGGACAAAGAAGGAGAGAAAAGAGCTGACAAAGGAGGAGAGAAAGCCAAAAGTGGAGGAGAGAGAGGTGCTGATAAAGGAGGAGAAAAAGAAAAAAAAGCCAACAAAGGCGATATAACACCTATGTAAGGTAGACAGGGAACAGCACTCTGGAAGCTGACTCAACGGAACCTATCAGTACTACAGTGCTGTTTGCACAGACCCCTTGGGTTAAATGTCTGTAGTTGTGCAATTGAAGAACATACAGAAGGACATCTATCTAGCCTAATGAGGAGCTGCTCTGATTATGAACTGCCTTATGTCTCTTATTAGTGTGGCTCTACTAGTGGGGTCTCTATTAGTGGGATCTTGATTGTTTCTTGGTTCTCACCACCGGTCATGTGAGAAATTTTATAAATAAATGTCCTTTAGTTCTTATGATTATCTATAGCTGTGCTTCACTTGAAAAAGGCATTTAACATTATTTGATACTCCAGATTTTTTTCGGGTGTATAATGTCTTCAGCCATGTCTTATATAAAATGACTTATGCCTGCTACTTAATTCTTTTCACTGTTTTCTATAGTGAAGTTCCTTCATACCTGATAAATTGTACATGGTGTAGGGATTAGAAATGGACACTCACCCTTTGAGTGATTATAGCTTTCTGTTTTCCTTTGGTATATCTGACATAAGATTTGATAAATACTCTGGGATAACAGTGGCATCTTGAACGTGTCAGACTAGTGAATGCAGTCCAGTTCATATTAGTGGAGCAAAAGAGGACCTGCTTCAGTACCTGCTTCTTTTCAGGTATCCAGGTTGTAACCTAAAAACTAGAAATAATAATAAATATAAAGCCTGGTAAAGTGACTTCCCTTTTATATGCTGTGGACAATAGCATACATTTATACATTAATGCAAAATGAACATATTTTTTAAAATATTGTATATTTGGTGAAAACATACACAGCAAAATCGGTACCCAGTCAACAATTTCTACACATAATGTTCAGTGACATTGGTTATATTCTTCACACTGTGTCAACATTCTCATTATTTCTGTTCTAGTTGTTCCATTCCCATTAACTTAGTCTTACTGTCTCCCAAACTTCTCATCTACACTTTAGAGTAACTGTTGTCTATTTGGTCTCATATAAATAATTAGAAAAAATATTTTATTGTGTTTTCAGTAAAGGTTTACATAGCAATTTAGGTTCCCATTCAACAATTTCTACACAAGTAGTTCAGTGACATTGGTTATATTCTTCACAATGCATGAACATTCTCATTACTGTTCTGGTTGTTCCATTTCCATTAATCTAGTTTCCTTGCCCCTTTACATTCTTATCTTTATTTTAAAGTAATTGTTGAACATTTGGTCTCATATACATGATTTTTTAGAGGAATACAGTACTTACAGGTGATATTCATTATTTTTTGAACCAATTTGTTATTTAGCTACAAGGTGACCTTGGGTTAGTTTTGGTTCAAGGTTTGAAGAGTATCTCAGGGCAACAGTCTCGGAGAGTCCTCCAGTCTCAACTACTACAGTAGGTCTAGTTCTTTTTTTGTTTGGAATTTGAGGTTCTAGTCCACATTTTTCTCCCATTCTATCAGGGTTCCTATTGTGACCCCAGTTAGAATGGTTGCTAGTGGTAGCTGGGCACCATCTAGTTCTGGTCTCAGGGTAGATGAGGCCATGGTTCATGTAGACTATTTGTCCTGTAGACTAGTTTCTTCTTTGAGTAGATAATTTTTTAAAAGAATGCAGTACTCAAGGGTGACATTCTTTACTTTTTGAGCTAAACTTCTATTTAGTTAAAAGGCGACTTCAGGGATAGTTTTCTTCAAGGTTTAAAGATTATCTCAGGACAATAGTCTCGGGAATTCCCCCAGCCTCAGTAGGTCCAGTAAGTCTGGATTCTTTGAGAATTTGGAATTTTATTTCACATTTTTCTCCCTTTCTATCAGGATTCATCTATTGTGTCCCTGATCAGAATGTTCAGTAATGGTAGCTGGGTACCATCTATTTCTTCTGGTCTCAAGGTAGAGGAGGCAGTGATTCATGGAGACATTTAGTCCTGTAGTCCAGTTCCTTCTCTGATTCTTGAGTTTACTTCTTTCTCTTCTGCTCCAGACAAATAGAGACCAATAGTTGTATCTTAGATGGCCGCTCATAAACTTTTAAGGCCCCAGACACCACTCACCAAACTAGGAAGTAGAACATAAACTTTAAGAACTATATTATGCCAATTGATTGGATGCCCCATGAAACCATGAACCTAAGTCTTCAAACCAAGAAAACTAATCCCGTGAAGTGATTGGTTATATCTTAAGTACTATCAGTATCTGTAGCCCTTTTTATTTATTTTGGTGGTTGTTGTAAAATTATGTACAATATAATATAATAGTTGCCAATTTATCCTTTTTTCTGTGTACAGCATGGTGACATCAAGTACATTAGTCAAACTGTGCAAACTTCACCCACATTCAGTGCCACCTGTCCCATCACCATAAACAAAAAAAAAAAAAAAACAACTCTTGTCTAGAGAAAAGCTACTACTGCCAAAAAGATATTTACCTGTTATAGACTATGCAAAGGCATTCAACAGTCTGGATCAAAAAAAAATTATGGATAATATTACGAAGAATAGGAATTCCAGAACACTTAATTGTGCTCATGCACAACCTGTATATAGACCAAGAGGCAGTCGTTCAAACAGATCAAGGGGATACTGCATGGTTTAAAATCAGGAAAGGTGTGCATCAGGATTATATCCTTTCACCATACTTATTCAGTCTGGATGTTGAGCAAACAATCCAAGAAGCTGGACTATATGAAGAAGAACGTGGCATCAGGATTGGAAGAAGATTCATTAACAACCTGCGTTATGCAGATGACACAACCTTGCTTGCTGAAAGTGAAGAGGACTTGAAGCACTTACTGATGAAGACCAAAGACTATAGCCTTCAGTATGGATAACACCTCAACATAAAGAAAACAAAAATCCTCACAAATGGACCAAAAAGCAACATCATGATAAACAGAAAAAAGATTGAAGTTGTCAAGGATTTCATTTTACCTGGATTCACAATCAATGCCCATGGAAGCAGCAGTCGAGAAATCAAACAACGCATTGCACTGGGCAAATCTTCTGCAAAAGATGTCTTTAAAGTGTCAAAAAGCAGAGATGTCACTTTAAGGACTGAGGTGTACCTGATCCAAGCTATGATATTTTCAGTTGCCTCATATGCATGTGAAAGCTGGGCAATGAAAAACTGAAGAAGAATTGATGCATTTGAATTATGGTGTTGACAAAGACTGTTGAATATACCATGGACTGCCAGAAGAATGAACAAATCTGTCTTGGAAGAAATACAGCAGAATGCTCCTTAGAAGCAAGGATGATGAGACTTCATCTCATGTACTTCGGACATGTTATCAGGAGGGACCAGCCCCTGGAGAGGAACATCATGCTTGGTAAAGTAGATGGTCAGCAAAAAAGAGGAAGACCCTCAATGAGATGAATTCACAGAGTGGCTGTGACAGTGGGCTTAAACATAGCAACAATTGTAAGGATGGCGCATGACCGGGCAGTGGTTCATTCTGTTGTACATAGGGTCACTATCAGTGGGAACCAACTCGACCGCACCTAACAGCAACAACCTAGAGACTGATTCCCCTTTCCCTTCCCCACCCTTGGTAGCCAACAATGAACGTTGACCTCTGTGTATTTACCTATTTTTATCTCTTAAATGTGAGATCATACAATATTTGTCCTTTTGTGATTGTTTTACTTCTGAGTATAATGTCCACCATGATCATCCACATTTCAAGATGATTTGGGAACTCTTTTTTTTCTTTATGACTAAGTAGTATTGCACTGTATGTATTTACCACATTTTATTTATCCATTCATCCATTGATGGGCCCTTAGGTTGTTTCCATCTTTTTGCTATTGTGAATAGTGCTGCAAGGAACATAGGTGTGCTTATGTCTGTTCATGTCACTTCTATTAGATCTCTAGGGTATATACCTAGGAATGGGATTGCTAGATCATAAGGTAGCTCTATTTCTAGCTTTTTGAGGAAGCACCATACCATTTTCTGTAGTGGTTATACCATTTTACAGTCCTACCAGTGTGATTAAGGGTTCCAATCTGTCTACAGCCTCACCAACATTTATTGTATTGTTTTTTTGATCACTGCCATTTTAGTATGAATGAGATGATAATCTCATTTTGGTTTGCATCTCCTAATGGTTAATGATCGCAAACATCTTTTCATGTATTTGTTGGCTGCACGAATGTCATCTTTGGTAATGTGTCTGCATTTCTTTTGTCCATTTTTTAATTGTATTGTTTGATTTTTGTTGTTGGGTTGTTGAAGTTTTGTATATATTTTGGAGATTAGACCCTTATCAGATATGTCGTTCCAAAGATTTTTTTTCCGGTCTGTTCATTGTCTTTTTACTCTTTTTACAAAGTCTTTTGATGAGCACAAATGTTTAATTTTTATGAGGTCCCAAAACCGTTGCCATCAAGTTGATTCTGACTCATAGCAACCCTATAGGACAGAGTAGAACTGCCCCATAGAGTTTCCAAGGAGCATCTGGTGGATTCGAACTGCTGACCTTTTGGTTAGCAGCCGTAGCTCTTAAGCACTGTGGCACCAGGCCTTCCACTTATCTATTTTGTCTTTTACTACTCTAGCATTTGTGGTTGTGTTTGATAATCTATCATTAAAAAATAAACCAAGTCCCATGGCTTTGCCCCTATGTTTTCTTCCAGGAACTTTATAGTTTTAGCTTTAACATTTAGGTCCTTGATCCACTTTGAGTTAGGTTTTTTGTTTTTTTTTTAATTGTGCTTTAGGTGAAAGTTTACAGCTCAAGTTAGTTTCTCATACAAAATTTTATACACGTATTGTTATGTGACCCTAGTTGCTATCCCTATAATGTGACTCCACTTTTCTCCTACTCTCCTTTCCACTCTGGATTTCCCATGTCTGTTCAACCAGCTCCTATCCCTTTCTGCCTTCTCATCTCGCATTCTGACAGGAGCTGCCCATTTTGTCTTGTGTATCTACTTGAACTAAGAAGCACACTCTTCACGAGTATTATTTCATGTTTTATAGTCCAATAAATCTTTGAAGAGTTGGCTTCAGGGATAGTTTTAGTTCTGGGTTAACAGAGTTCAGGTGCGATGTCTTCTGGGGTTCCTCTAGTCTCAGTGAGACCATTAAGTCTGGTCTTTTTACATGAATTTGAGTCCTGCTCCATCAGGGACTCTGTTTTGTTCCTGTCAGGGCGGTCATTGGTGGTAGCCAGACACCATCTAGCTCTTCTGGTCTCAGGCTGATGGAGTCTCTGGTTTATATTGCCCTTGTTGTGTCTTGGGCTAATGTTTTCCTTATGTCTTTGGTGTTCTTCATTCTCCTTTGCTTCAGGTGGGTTGGGACCAATTGATGCATTTTAGATGGCTGCTTGCTAGCTTTTAAGACCCCAGAAGACACTCATCAGAGTGGCATGCAGAACATTTTCTTAACAAACTTTGTCATGCCAGGTGACCTAGATGTCCCCCAAAACCATGGTCTCTAGCCCACCAACCCTGCTACTCTGTCCTTCGAAGTGTTTGGTTGTGTTCAGGAAACATCCTAGCTTTTGGTTTAGTCTAGTTGTGCTGACTTCCCCTGTATTGTGTGTTGTCCTTCCCTTCACCTAAGATAATTCTTGTCTACTACCTAGTTAGTGAATTCCTCTCCCTCCCTCCCCACCCTCGTAATCATCAAAGAATGCTTTTTTTTCTGTGTTTAAACCTTTTCTTGAGTTCTTATAATAGTGATTTCATACACTGTTTCTCCTTTTGTGACTGACTAATTTCACTCAGAATAATGCCTTCCAGATTCATCCATGACCTGAGATGTTTCATGGATTCATCCTTGTTCTTTATCGATGCGTAGTTTTCCATTGTGTGGATATATCATAATTTGTTTATCCATTTATCCGTCGCTGGACACCTAGGTTGTTTCCGTCTTTTTGCTATTGTGAACAGTGCTGCAGTGAATATGGGTGTGCATATATCTGTTTGTATGACGGCTGTTATTTCTCTAGGATATATTCCAAGGAGTAGGATTGCTGGATCCTATGGTACCTCTATTGCTAGCTTTTTAAGGAAGTGCCAAATCAATTTCCAAAGTGGTTGTACCATTTT